TACCAATGCCGTGAAGCCCTTTTTCTGGCCCATGGGATCTTGAAGGATCCCTGATTGATTTTAACGTAGCTTTTCCATTCTTAATGTAGTGCAAAGTGCCGTAATGCATTATGCAGTCTAAATTGTATGGCAAATTCAAACTTTGAAACTCTTTGTGGTGGCCAATTTACGTTATAAACTCAGTTGATAACACTTAAATACCCTGTTATACTCTCCTCTTGACGCAGCACCAGGGTTTCTTTACAATTTTTCTAGTCAGTGTGTAAAACATAGTTCCACCGCTTGCAAGCAACTGAAGACAGACAGGGAATTGGCGAAATGAATCATGTCGAAACAATTTTCTCTTGGAAAGGATTCGATGCATTGCTAAAACGTCATCTCGTGCTATTCGAACGAGATGTCAGTCAAACTAAGTAACACCTGCGGCAGTGGTGTTACTGATGACCTGTACTCCTGTTTCAAGACGCTATTGGGTTCAATGATGGCCGTGCGTATCACTAGTTCCTTTTCCAGCTGTATCCGATCGATAGCTGTTGCCAGTGGCAACAGCTATCGATCGAATTATCAAATCAGTTTTCCATTTTACTACCAACACCGCCAACACCTAGAACACGGGAAACGGAAGAAGCAAGACAATTATCGGAGATATTATTCATTGTAACATATTCATTGCAAGTGTCGAAAACGTGAAAAAGCTGTACCAGGCTTCCTTATAAACTCACGATTTATTCGCTTGATTCAACAATTTTGCTACTATGCGGCTTCGGTTGACTCCCACTCACAACTCTCGGCTTATTAGAAGGAAACACACTCAACTTCCCGTTGTAAGCACGTGGAACAGTGCCATATATGGGATGCTAATACACGTGCTGCATACAGGCTTGCTTAGTTATGTATAAATAAACCAAATCCCTTATAAATTTCAATCAAATTGAGAATAATTAACGTATCGTGCAGTTTCCAACACAAGTCCTACCTAATTCCTAAGGAGCTACCATGGTATAAATCTCACCTCTATGTACGCACGGCCGTGCCTACACAATATGACGTGTACAAATTTCTTCAGCTGCTAATTCCCGTCGATTTTAGCCGCGAGGTTTCAAACCTTTTAAAATTTTTTTCCCATTCCATCCCGATTTAGATAGGCCTTTTAAAGCTCAAAATGACAATTAAATATGCAGATAGTTCTCGTCTCGAAAGACAATGAGCATGTACCTCTTTAGCTTTGGACTTAACGAAACTTCAAACTTCAACTGAGGCTTTGCGACGTTAGGGAACTCTTCTTTAGAACGGTAAATATCATTTTTAAGTGTCTACCACACGGGTCTCGTAAATGCAAGAAATAAATACGTTTTTCTTTCGTTTTTCTAACGGCATATATCATTCTTAGGTTTTGATATGTCCTAAAAAATATTGTTTATTGTAAGTTTTTAACTTCAAAATCGTACGTTTTCAGAATTTTCAAATTTTCAACCAAGCCTACGCAATTTTTTTTCTGTGAATTCTAGTAAACAAGAATGCTGAATCGTACGTGCAACAAATTCGTTCGTTTTTCGCTTCTGAGAAAAAAATTTATAATTCTTTGAAAAAAGCTTTGGTCTCGAAATATTCCTTAGTCGTATTAAAGTTCACATGGCAACCAGGTGGACAATCAGACATGGTTTGATGTTGCTCTGGTTAAGAGCCTACGCCATTTTTTGGCCGTGAATTCTAGTAAACAAGAATGCTGAATCGTACGTGCAACAAATTCGTTCGTTTTTCGCTTCTGAGAAAAAAAAATTTATAATTCTTTGAAAAAAGCTTTGGTCTCGAAATATTCCTTAGTCGTATTAAAGTTCACATGGCAACCAGGTGGACAATCAGACATGGTTTGATATTGCTCTGGTTTAAAGATTTAATGAATGTAACCAAGAAGTTATAATTCGTAGACCCAACGTTTTGACACTGGTCGGTCGTTTTGCCATGTCATTTATTCACAGAATAAACGATTACCTGATAAACTCCGACACAGTTGTAATAATTCTGCGAGCTAGTATAATACCGTTGTCGACGCTTCTGTACGCTTCTTATCAGACTGCCGGGCACGGTCTCGAATAGACTAGATACCCAGGAGTTATAAATGTTCACTAAAGTGCCACTAAATGGTTTCTTGAAAGTTCCCAAGCGATATACATTTTAGTATGCTCAAGTTCGAAAACATTTTTCCACCTATAACCTAATTAATTTTTGGAATCGCTTGACATTTCCGGCTGTACCAAAATCTGCTACTCTCAAGAAGTTTCAAGGAATATTTCAGTGGCACTTTGGTGAAAATTTTTACTGCAGGGCATTAAGTCTATTCGACTAAAGAAACAACAAAACGACAAATACAAAGCTTACAGGTATTGTTGTTCGTCAGTTCAGTAGTCTGGCAACATTCAATAATTTCTTATTTGAATGCACTACATCTTGTAGCTCGTGAACAGGCTGCTTCTAAGATTCTCGAGACAAGAAAGGTTTTGCACTACTCCAGACCAGCATGGTCCCTTGTTGAATAACTTTTAACTCTTAAGTGTTTTTCTACCGTCGGGAACATCTTTAGATTCGCTTAGATTTGATTCCATAGATGTTCTAATTTGGTGACAGCAGAAATGGCTTTGTTGATGATGGATACTGTGCCAAACACGTTAGTTTGCTGTGGTAGGGTACTCTTCTGTAAAACTTAAAGCAAATTTAGTGCTTTATAAGGTACAGTAAAGTAGAAACTTTGCTGTATTACATTGATCGTTTCGTTTTCTGCGCGCTTCAGGCTTGGGCTATAAATCCGGAAAAAAAAACCGGTCCATAACTTAAAGTACGGATCTCGAGTTTGGTTTATAAGAGGTCGGTTCACGTAGGGGTGAGTTTCACAACTTACATTCCCTCCCTATCAGTGAGCATCACGCGTACCTGGCTAATTTTACGTTTGGAACCTCAGGCGCAGGGCCTTTTCGAGCGCGGCGCATAGTTAAGAATTGGAGGCAATGCTAATTACTTTTAAAAATAGTTTTTAGGGAGCTCTTTTAATTTGAGCTTCATTAAGCTTGTCACGGTCTGGTTATCTCTTTTAACACAAGATATAATTTGCCTCTGAAGGTGGAAAGTAACCTTAACACAATTTTCATTTAGTTTTACACTTATGTAATTATTGTTTTGTGCAATCTTCTTTCCAGGTGCTTTTCATTGTGTAATTAGGGCAACAGACACCTAAGTGATTTTACTATCCACGAGTTACCTTCTCGTAATAAACCTTGTATCATCCTTATACCTGGAGTCGGGCAGTTGTGCGCGAAAATGATTTCAACCAAAGGACAAGATCGCTATCTCGCTGCACTTGAATTATCCTGGAAAACATCTTCATCAAGGGAAACACTGGCAAATTTTGCAGAAGATGTTACAGCTCATACAATGAGTCACATCTCAAGTCTTGCGTCTCCCGTTTTTCGTGTTCTTGGTGTTGGCAGTGGAAACGGGAAAACAGACTTGAGAATTCTAAATTCTATAACAACAGCTATGGTATCATCACAGATGAAGAAACCAGTGATACACACCACCATCATTGAACCCAGCAGTGACCTCATACAGGAATTCAAGTCATCTGTAACACCATTGCCGCAGCCATTGGGTAGTCTGGCCGA